ACTTTTGTAGGGTCGTCGATGAATCCGTGGGGCTGCTCGACGAAGATCTCGGCGTCCACAGGTGCGTACATGAAAGCATTTGCGACGTCGATTTGGCGCAGTGGTAGTTTCTTCGTGGCCGCGACGGCGAGTAGGATGCGCAAGGAGGTGTGACGGGAGACTGGGGCAATAGTTTCTGTGTAGTCGGTTCCGTATCGTTGATCGAAGCCTCGTACGACCCATCGAGCTTTGAATCGTTCGATGGAGCCGTCCGCGTTGGTCTTGATGCGGTACACCCACTTTCCCGAGAGGACGTTCTTCCCGTTGATGTTCGTTGCATGTACCAACTTCCATGTGTTTCGGTCTTGCAGAGCTTTTAGTTCCTTTTCCATCGCCTCCTTCCATTTCGCCTTATGTTCCCCCCCCAGAGCCTGCGACAGAGTCGAGGGCTCCCGCGGAGATGGCGGCGGCGGATGCTGGACGGAGACCCATAGGCCGAGGATCTGCAGTCCCGTGGGTGTGTGTCGAGGGGAATTTTCATTCCCGGAATAAGCTGCTTCGTCACCATCTTCTGGATCAGGTAAGAAGTTTGGGCCAATGCGTTCTGAAACATTCGTCTCGACCGGGTGGGGTGTAACGTAACCTTGGTCAGCGAAGTGGTAAAAGGTGTCGAGGTTGTTGCTATCGAGAGGATTGTCTTCGTCGAGTGGAACAGGTACGGAACAGAGGCTCCAGGCTCCAGGTACGTCTTCTTCTGCTGCGTCAGCCTCGGCAGCACGGTCGGCGAAGGAACGAAGGCCCGCGAGGCCGTCGGTGGGGTCGTGTATGTTGGCAATATTGTCTAGGTAATGCTGCAGCGTCAGTCGCTCGTAGAAGATAATATCACGTGATGCCACGGTATTTTTGTCTTGTATGTCGAGGATTTTCCATGCGTGAAAATGTTTGGCGATGCCGAGGTGTAGTCCCCACCGAGCTCGTTGAGTGAAGCGTCCTGCTCGGGCTGTGTGGGGTCTATACTGTACCATGCAGCCGAAAACTCGAAGTAATTTTGTGCTGCCCCTTTTTCATGTCCACATCAGGTGCGGTGATGCGTTGTTGGGAAGCGATGACGAGGACAATAGATTGTGCAGGTGGACTGCATGTGTAATCGCGTCTGGCCACAGTGTGGTGGGCAGTCTCATCCCCAGAAGCAGCTTTCGCATCGTCGTCTGCAAGGTCCGGTTCATGCGTTCTGCGACCCCCTGCTGCTGGTGAGCGTATGGCAGAGACACCAGGCGTCTGATTCCTCTTTCCGCCACATAGGTCCTGAAGCGTTGTGACTGGTATTCCAGTGCACCATCTGACCGGAAGCTCTTGAGCTTGGTTCCTGATTCTCGTTCGGCGATGGGGAGCCATGTCGTGAAGGCGTCGAAGGCTTGATCGCGCGTCTTGAGGTTGTAGTGCCAGACGTATCTTGTTGCTGCGTCGATAAACGTGTTGACATAGTTGAAGTCGGCTTCAGTGTCTTCTCGAGGCATGTTTAAAATGTCACTGTAGACTTTTTCCATCGGTGCGTATGCAGGTGCGCTTGGGTTGTGATGGGATGGAAAAGGCTGGTGGGGAAGATCGGCTTCGGGGCACGTAAAGCACCGTGCGCGTGGTCGTCGAAGTTCTTGGCCGCTCGTTGTAAGGAGAGCGTTTCGTTCTAACACTTCAGCTTGGATGGTTTGCAGTATTGTACTGTTTGCAGGATGTCCGAGACGTTGGTGCCAGATGTCGTCGGGAGCGCGATGGCCGGGCGAGCGGTGGTATATGTCGGTGTTGGAGAAGAACGCGACGACCGTGGCGGGACTGCGGCAGACTTCTCGTGTGATGGGCATAAGTTGATGTGCTTCGGTTGGCGATCCTCGGATCGCTGGTGGTGGTACTCGGCTGGATCTTGCTGTTGCTACTGCCGGTGATGGTTGGGAAGGAACACTTGCTGGTACTTGTCTTTCTTGTCTGATGACTGCTAACGCTCGTGTTCTTTCTGCTGCAGGTATGGTGTTGGAGTACCAGAATCCATCGGGGTTGAATTCGGGGTCAAGATCCGGCGGGTGTGTCCAGGCGGCGAACGACACGATCCCATCGCTGTCGGCAGTACCTCGGTCGGGGACGAAGTCCAACACGAAGACGCCGGACTTCAGGAGAGCACGACCGATGAAGAGACCGCCCTTCCCGTGGTAAAGGCGAAACTCGTTGGAGTCCGAGTCGCACTCCAGGTGAATTCCTTTTGCCATTAGCTGGCTGACGCTTAGCAGATTGTATCCCAAGTTGTCAACGATTAAGACCTTGTTGAGTTGAAGGATGACATTTGTTTCCATGGACTGTAACTGAACCACCCCTTGTCTGTTTGTTTTCAGGTTCTCGTTGTTGGCGACGGTGATGATGACGTCGCGGTTGAGGCGTCGCTCTTGTTGCACGAAGCGTCCGGAAGAACACATGTGTTGACCGCAGCAGCTGTCCAAGAACCAGGTGTTTCGCCCGGTGGGTTCGGCGTTGGCGACCGCAGCGTATGTCGGGTTAACCTGAAGTCCTTGTGAGCGCGGCGGCGGGAATTCTTCTTCGTCTGGCGCGTAAGTGGGTGGTGATCCGGGTGCGCAGTTGTCGATGTGTACCATGCAGTTGATGATGTTCGGTGTCCCTTGTGCAGATGTGGTAGAACGTCTTGGAGGGCTTTCTTGAGTGGAGGCGACTTGTGGGTCTACTGGACGATAGACACGAGGACATGTGCAGTTGACTTTGGAATGTCCGGATGTTTGACAGTTGTGGCAGAACGGCGGCACGATGGTGAGTCCTCTGTTGTCGCGTTGATCTTGCTTGCCGCGTCGATTGTAGTTGTTGTCGTTCCTTCGTTGAGTGTAGAAAACTAACTGCTGCTGCTTCCTTGGTTGTCTTTCTTCGAACAGATCCATCTCCTGTTGTTCAGCATGAAGCTCGGCGCAGAGGTGCATCTCCGAGATCCTTCTGTGGGCACGAAGAAGCGAGCGTGTGGTTCTCCATTCTGACCCGAGCCCGGCGAGGACAAGTGTCACGAAGCTTTCTTCAGTGATTGTTCCTCCGCATCGAAGCAGGCGGTCGCGGAGGGTCTGGCATCGACTCATATACTGCATCGCCTTTTCCCCGGTCTTCATCTGTATTGATGTCAGCTGTTGCATGAGTCTGCTTTGTGTCATGCTGTCGTTTGCTTGATAGAGACACTTGAGATGATGCCATGCGAGTTCCGCGGAGTTTCCATAGCTCTGACACGTTCTAATGCTCTGCTGTTCTTGAGGTGACAGGTTCCGCAGGACAACTGTATACGCCAGCAGCGACTGATACCTGAAAATTTCTTGCTCCTTTCCAGTGCCGTTGCTTGGGAATGGCAGGGACCCGTTGAAGTATCCCAAGAGATGCGCAGCCTCCATCAGCAGCTCGAACTGAAAGCTCCAGGTAAAGAAGTCGTGTCCGTTGAACGGTGAGGATGTCTGTAACTTGATTACGTGTGAAAACTGCGCCTGGAGACTCAAAATCTCGTTTGGTGTCTGTTGTGATGCAGCTGCTGTTGGTTGGGCACGGGGCGGCATGAACTCGAATGTCCCCGGTGAAGAGTGATAAGGCGCAAAGGTAGGCGCTTGGTTGTGTCGCCCGAACGATGAATTGTCGAGGCTCATCGGCGCTAATCCCATGTTTCCTCCGTTGCTCTGTGTTTAATGCGCAGGTGTCCTTGTCTGCTGCTACTGGTCGAAGTGCGACATGAAGCTGAATAACCTTTCCATAAGGTTCGGATCCACGCTTAAAGAGGGTGATGGAGTCACCGTTTCCGGTGCTCTTCCTGTTGTTTCTTGAGCAGCGCCGGTCTCGGTTTGCAGTCCTGAAGTGTGCAATCCAGAGTTGCCGGGTTGAGTGTCTTGGGCGCTGGGTGAGCCCGTAGAGATTTTCTTGCCCTTGCTGTCCATGACTTGTAATCAATGAAGTCGTTTGAATTGCAGATTGTAGATAGAGCGTAGTTGCTGGGAGTTTGGTCTCTGACCAGCTCTTATACCATGTTGGGCTGAGAAAAGCCCTTAGGATCTTTCCAGAGACTAAGTCCCAGTTGTAGAATGAGACTTGAGTAGTGCAGCGGAAGTTGAGTAGTTGAACCCTTGTACTAGTATATGAGAACAAGTGATTGGTTAAAGTGAACAAGCATACAGCAATATATAGAAAGTAGAAAACAAACAGTTGTAGAATACAATTGAATGGCGGTTTATCGAGTCGCACAGTGACTCGACTGTCGCTTCGGTTACCATTCTTGTAGTTGTAACAGTCAGTCGCAACCTCCGGTTGCGACCCTTCGAGTCCTTTCGTGTTCTTTGTCCACCCCCTCGTGTAACCTCCGTTGACTCGCGTACTCGTTACGATCTTCCTCGAGTGTGATGTTACACTTCAGAAACGCTTAAGTCCTTGAGATATTTCCAACAAATTAAACACCGATACCCGCTCAAGCTACCCGGGGGAGCTTAATTCCGGCAGGTGTTTTTTTTATGGGGGATTACGGTAAGTATGAATTATACTACAAGTACAACCCCTTAGCACAAAATCACCTGTATCTCACATTCTATTCAGTTCGTTTCTTTGAGAGTTACTGTATGTTTTGGCTACACACCTTTGTCATGGTTTGAATGTGCAGTATAAAATGAGTATAGCATATTTTTATGAAAAGACGATTTGGGCTGTGTGCAGCTAATGCAATTTGTTTGGGCAAAGAAGTTCCATGTGAAGCATGAAAGTAATGGATAAGAGGTACCACTTCAATCTATGTATTTGTTCTCATGAACTTCACAACTGTATATTCGCTCTTTGGAGCCGCCTCTTCTTCCTGACGCTACCGCGTTTGTCCTGAAATTGATTTCTCGGTTTGAACGCCCCAATTCAAAACTCCGCTTCCCCCCTAGTTCCGCCTGCTCCCCCAATACGAGCATAGTTTCACCGCTCCTGCTGCTGTGTTACCAACAATACAGTTGTGGCTCATGGTCACGGACTGCACCCACTCGCCCGCCAAGCAGAGAAACTCGCTCTGGCGACCTCAATCTTTTCTCTGCCCCGAGCTCTCCAGGCCAATTCAGGCCAGCCCTCGATATCCTCCGCGTCACCATTCGCCCCGCCAGTCACCACCACTGCTGCTGGTGTTCCTTCCCTCCCAAGATGCACTAGGGAACTACCCCACCCATCCCATTCTCATTCCCATTCCCCCATTCCCATTCCCGTAATCCCTTCCCCTCATGGTTGCTCGCGTTAGTGCAAGCCAATCAGTCACACGAGCGACTCTCCCTGCCCATAGCTTTCGTAACCCCAGCCATGGGCGCGGATGTTTGACGCTGTCGCCTAATGCGTCCCTTACTATACGTGCATGAACTAGCAGTTTAGCGCATTTTAGGACTGCACGGGTGCAATCCCAGTCCTCTTGCGGCCGAAGTTAACTGAAAGCAAGTGACTCGTCACCAAGGCATCCTACACCTCACCAAGAATCGACAGTACTTGCCGCCGTTACTGCGAACAGCCGTCGCGTCAATTCTTCCGCGTCCCTCCTTTCTCTAACGGTCTCGTTGCTACCTTTTGCGTTAGGCCCTCTCACATCACCGACGAACAGTTTCGTTTCCCGTAACAGTAACACCGTCTCCACATCATTTAATCTCCTCGCCGAATTCTTCCCAAGCAAAGAATCGCGCGTTGCACCAGCCGCCGCTATGGTCGTAAGCTCGCCCGTGGGCTTCGAGCTGCTGGGCTGCTTCAACGTCTCGGCTGAGTTCGAGCGCGACGGGGAGCGCATCGGCCAGCCGAAAGGCCACGTGGCCGTCGTCAGCATTCCGCGCAGCCGCGTCCCCGCGGGCGGCGGCCCGATAAGCCTAACGAGCCCCGTCGGCTCCGGAGATAGTATCGAGGATGCGAATAATCCGTCTGCTGCTCCTGGCGGCCTCGATGGCGGCGGCACGGCGTTGGCGCTGCTGTTCGTGACGAAGGCGGGGTTCACGAAAGCGACATCGGGGACGGCATTCGCCATCAACGACATGGGGAGGTTCCGAATGAAGTTCATCAATCAAGGTACTTCTAGCGCGACGGTCCCTTCTCTCCCCCTTTCCCTGTCACGTGACGCCATAACGCGACTTCCCGTTCTCTCCCCTTCTCCAGCCACTTTCTCGTGCCGTCTTTCGCGAGATTGATTCGTTCGACTAGTAATTCGTGTGTATCGGCATCGTTCTCTCTGACCGTCAGTCGGGCGTTGCGCACGCCGTGTGCGAGTTCTCATTCGTCATCCGCCATTCGTCATTCGTCATCCGCCATTCGTCATTCATCATTCATCACTCCCCATTCGCCATTCGCCATGACTCGCTGCAGGCAAGTTCTCGTTCGAGGTGCGCGGCGAGGGGCCCGGCGGCAACACGCTGGTGCTGTGCAGCGTGAGCTCCGGGCAGGTGGCGCACGACGTGCGGAGCCTCGCACAGTTCATCTCCGACATCAAGATCGGCAAGGCGCCCGGCATGCCGCACAAATGCGTCGCGTGTGGGCTCAAGGATACGGCGGAGCTGGACAAGAAGCGCAAGCAGGAAGAGGTGAGCTCGCTCTTGTTACTTGTTACTCCGCGCAGTCAGGCCCTTGTTACTTCGCGCATTCACGCGGCGATGCTCTTGGAGTGAGCGCGGCCTGTGCGTGTGCTTATAATGAAACTCTCTGCGTGCTCGCGTTGTCCGGCGGCACGGCAGGCCCTGAAGGAGAAAGAGGCGAAGAGGCAGCGTATGGAGGAGGAAAAGAAGGTCAGAGACGAACAGAAGAAACGCGACAAGGTGCGTACAAGCTCCGCGTTCGCGTGCTGCCTGCTCCCGTTCGCGTCCTGCCTGCTCTCTGCTCCCCGCGGACCTCCCATTTGCCGGACCTTTTCGCGTCTCTCGTTTCAGTCCGCGGCTCCCATGCTCTGCTCTGCTCTGCTCTGCTCTGAAACTCGCGCGCGTTCGTTCTGTTCGTTTAAACGCTTTCGATCCCTCCTGAACCGCGCGTGGGGCGGGATGCGCGCAGGAGGAGAAGGAGGCAAGGCAGAAGCAGGAGAAGGCAATGAAGGAGCTTCAGAAGAAGCTCAAGGAGACGGAGAAAGACAGGGACGACATGAATAGGATACGAGAGACACTTAGCAAAGAGCTGAAAGAACGGGGCGAGATAATCAGGGAGCTCCAGCAACAAGTGAAGGAGAAAGTGGCCGCTGCTGCCCGGGAGGAGGCGAAGAGGAGGGAGGAGGAGGCGAGGCGGGTGAGGGAGGAGAGTGCGGCGAGGGAGGCGGAGCTGCGGCGGGCTATGGAGGAGGAGTTTCGGGTGAAGAGGGATGAGGAGCAGCGGCTGCGGCAAGCTGCGGACATGCAGCGGTGGGCGCGGGAGCAGCAGAAGGCGAAGGAGGTGGAGGAGATGCGGAAGAAGCTCCAGGAGGAGGAGGGGAAGAGGATGTTTGAGGCCATGTCGCACCGCGAGGAGATGGCCAAGATGAAAGCGGAGGTGGAACGCGCGTACCAGTACCAGCAGCAGCAGCAGCAGCAACAAGGGCAGCAAGCTGACTCCTTTGTGAGTTGTTGTGGTGCTTTCGTCGGTTGTCAGTCATCCCTTGTCCCCATGTCGGCTGAGAGTTCTGATGCCACTCTCTTCACCATTCAGCCTCCCCCATTCAAGAATCTTACAGTTTCTGCCTCCTGAAGCATCCCACCACCTGATGCCAGTGCCGCTCTCACCTCCCTTCCCCTCCCCTTCCCTCTCTCCCATGCTTTGCCCTCCGCTTCCCTTCCCCTCTCATTGCTCCCCCCCCGCACCACCCCGTCAGGGTCCCCCGCCCCCTCCTCCGCCAAAGGACGTGCCAGCAGAAGTGCTGGCTCGCTACAGCAGCCTGCTGCGGGACCGCGAGGCGCGCATGCGCGCAGCCTTTGCAGCAATGGCAGGGGAGATACGACGCGCCGAGGGGGAGCTGAAGAAGAAGCGGACGGAGGAGGAGCGGCGGCGGAAGGCCGAAGAGGCAAAGCGGAGCAAGGCAGAGACGGCCAGGCAGAAAAGGGAAGAGGCGATGAGTGCAGAGAGGAGGAGGGAGGAGGAGGAGAGGAGGCACGCGCAGGCAGAGGAGACGAGGAAGAGGGAGGAGGAGAGGAAGAGGATGGAGGAGGTGGAGAAGGCGAGGAGAGTGCAGGAGGAGGCGAGGCGGAAGGCGATGGCGGAGGAGAGTGCGCTCGCTGCGAAGCAGAAGTGGCTGGAGGACCAGCTCCGATTGCGACAAGCAGGTGAGGGAGGGGGGAGAGGGGGGAGAGAGGGGGGGGAGGGTGGTGCCAGATCTGCTGCACTGAAGCATGGCAGTGAATTCAGGGGTTAGCATTCATGCTCGGTGCTGGTTGTTTGTGTGCTGCAGTGGGATATGTTTGTGTGAGGGATCCCATTGCCTGTTTCCTGATCCGTTCTTTTTTTTTCTTGTGCGTGTGTGGTGGTTCAGCTGCTCCCATGACCTACGAGCAATACGAGAACCGGCTGCGGCAGATCAAGAACTCAGCAGGCAGTGCCAACGTGCCTCTGCACTTCTGGGACATCCCCTGGCCACCAGAAGGCAACTGCCTTTTCCTCTCCCCAACCGACGACCCTGGGCTGAAGAAGAGGAAGTTCAAGGATGCGCTGCTCTTTTGGCATGCAGATAAGTTTGTGGCGTTCTGCGGGTCGCGTTTGGTGGAGGATCACAAGCAGGTGATTCTCAAGAAGGTTGCCCGGCTGAGCCAAGAGGTCGTTGAGGCAAGGAATAATTTGTAATGTGGGAGGTTTGCTAGTTTTGGGGGTTGGGTTGGGTTTGTTGCTACTTGCATGAAATGCCTCACTCACTCCTTGTGAGGTATTACGTTGATGCATCATACAGGTGCTTTCTTTCTTCAAATTTGCTCCCACCCTGCCCCTAGTTTGAGCTAATAGTGGAAATCGTGCTTCTATAACGTTGATCATAGTATGGGCTCGTTACAAGATTTCTTAGGGCGTGTTACAAGTTGGACCAAGATGGCATTTTTGCAGTTTCGGACGAACCGTGCGTTCAAGCCTTCTTGACCCTCGTTCAAATGCGGACGTCTGAAGTGCAGGCGGTCAGGACGACGCCGGAATATGTTCAATGTTGCGGTTCATCCCCAAGTGTTCAAGATGCAACAACGCGGTGCGAAGTGGTTGGCGAACCCAACCACTTCGCACATAGCACAGGGTTGCCCGGCAAACAATGCACCGAGTCGCATTGTGGCACATTGGGTTGCAGTTGCTCTCAGAGTAGCGGAATAGACTATAATGAAGGGCACACGGAAGTTTTGGTCTAATGTGTTGTACTCTCTAAGGCATGCCCCTATCTAGTCTACAGCAACATATACAAATATGTTTGACACACCCCCTAGACTGGACAAGGGGCAGTGCCTAGCAAGAGACAAGCAACCCAGGGCGGCACTACTACTCCAACCTCTGAGACAAAGGTCCGGAGACCAGTCAACAGGAGTAAAACCTTGACAAGAGCAAATAAGGGCGGCACAACTAGTCCGGCCACTAGAATACCAACCACAAGGCCAGTCACGAAGGTATATATAACGAGGAGTACACAATCAAGGTCCTAGCAAGTGAGGAGCAACAGGAACTAGACCAAGTTGCAAACAGTGTCACTGATGATCTTTAGGCAAAAGCGCCTTAATAAAGATCTCAGTTGTGTTGGCACCGGAGGCCAAGTGTACTACGCGGGCCTGGCGGCGCTGCTGTAGCTCGCGCAAGAGGAAGTACCGCAGCTGGATGTGCTTCGCTCTGCCCTCGAGTCGAGGCTCCTGACACAGGAGGATCATGGCCCTGTTGTCAGCGTACTAGACAGGGGCAGAGTTGGGCCGCTCACCTAAGTCGGTAAGCAAGAAGGTCAGCCATGAGATGGCACCTGAACCAAGGCTAAAGCAGTAGCCCTGGGAGGACCTTAGCGTCTCAGCGCTGTCTGCCCACGAAGCGTCTGTGTGCCCTGTAAGGAGCACTGGCCTGCATCCTACTAGCACGAGTCCCATGCCCGATGTACTTGCTAGATAACGCAAAACCCTCTTAGCGGCCGACCAGTGCTGTGGTCGGTGTCTCCCTGTGGCCAAAAGCGTGCCAGGATGCTAAGAGGGTATGCGAGATCTGGACGAGTGCAAGTCATCAGGTACATGAGGCAACCCACCAGCTCTGCGTAAGGACCACTAGGCTCTATTGACTCCTCAGGAACTGGATTAGAGAGCCTGTGGTCTACTGTCAGAGGTCTAGGCTGTGCAGAGGAGAACTGAAGACGGAACCTCTGAAGGACCTGACGCACCAAGTGTGACTGTGTGAGAGTGATGCGGCCTCGGTACAGACAGCGTACCGCTCGTGACCAGGGAACGTAGTGGTGACGCCGAGGTCCTGAAGACAGCCGACACCAACTAGGTTCCTGGAGAACGAAGGGATGTGCAGGCCTGTAAGAGAACCCGAGAGAACCGCTAGACAGGGAAGTGTAGTGTAGCTACAGGCAACGACAAAACCGGAGAAGGGGTCGGCAAGTGCGACAGTGGCAGGTGTTGCAAGCGGCGTCAGCGTGGTGTGGTCGTGGAAGAAGCAGGTAGACGCACCAGAGTGAAGCGTAAAGGACAGCGAAGCGGAAGCTACGGCCGGTGGAGTAGCGAGCGTGGAGCCTAGACTAGACAAGGGAGGAGTTCCTACGCCTGACGCAGCAGGGGTGTGAGAGTACGACCCCGTTCCATTCCTTTCTCTTTCCCATCTTCTCTTTCCATTTCATTCCTCTTTTTATCCTGATTCATTTGGTCTTTATCTCATTCCATTTGGATTCCTATTCCTTCTTTTCCATAAAACCTTTGGTCTATCCTGTTATTATCATTATATCACCGACCAGGTTCGGGATGTAACGGCGCACTATATCTAGTGTAATCTTGCTGTAATCCCTTAAAGCCAATAGCCTCGCGTGGCTATACGCACGGTGATTCTATTTTGTAGAAGGGTCTATTCCCTTGGGATAGGATAAACCTGGTTACCTGATGTACTTTGGAAGTATAAAAGCGCCTTGTATCAATCGATAGTGCAACCTTTCCTCGACACATTTGATCCTGTAACACTTGGTAATCAGACCTTTTCTCCCTCGGCCGCGCTCAACTAAGCAGCAGCAGCGGGACTCCTGCCTCGAAAAACCGCCGGGGGCGACCAATTCGACGCCGATTCGGGTAAGCACCAGCTCCACGATTTTTCGAATTACCCCCTCCGCGCGTGTTTTGAACAGGATGGTGAACTTCGACAACGCCGAAGTTACCCAGCAGCTCTTCGCAAGCATCGCCGCCCTAAAGGGGGAGATGCGAGCTGACCGCGAAGCTTGGCGACAAGAGTTCAAGCGAGTAACTCGACTCGCCGGCGCGCAACACGACTCGACAACGGCGACGACGCAGCAGTCGCAACAATTTCTCGAGGCTCCGAAACCGCGCCCACCTGAGCCGTTCGATCCGAGCGATCGAAATTCCGACGTCCGCAGATGGATCGCCGGATGGAAATCTACTTCGCAGCCATCGGATGGAGCTCGCCAGTCTGGGACGGACAACGCGTACGACTCGCGGCGACACTGATGCGAGGGCCGGCACTCGAGTGGATCGGCGGTAACAGCACCTTCATCCACGGCGAAGCCACGTGGCAGCAGTTCCGCACCGACCTGCTGAGCCGATAAATTCGGGTTTCCTTTCCCTGGAAAAAATTCATCGCCATCGACAGTTCGGGAGTGTAGCGCAGTACACGCAGCAGATGGAGGAATTTTATAACCGTATTCCCGACCTGACCGAAGGGGAAAAAGTACAGTCGTACCTCGCAGGGCTGAAGAAGTCAAACGACAAGTGGCAGCGACAAACTACGCGAGCTACAGTGACGTCGTATCGGCCGCGGAACGCTTCGACATAGTCAACGCCAGGACACGACGGGCGCAAGTCGGCAGTACGCGACACGGTGACTGCTCGGCTCACCCCACGTTCGCCGACCCGATGGAAGTCAACAAGTTCGAAGGGCGGCCACGTCTGAAAAACACCAACTTCACGTGTGATTTTTGCGGGGTGCCGGGTCATCCAATCTTCGACTGCAACAAAATGAAAGCCGCACGTGCTGAGTATCGGGCATGCAACAGTGGCGGAAATCCTTCGGCCAATCAGAAGCAAAAAAACGGGACTCGCTAGTGATTGCGGATCTAGCTGGCGAAAAAGAAAAGATCCGTAAGCGGCCGCGGACTTCCGGAAAAATCAACTTCGACGCAGCCGATTCGACGGGAGCAGGAGAAAATGATGGGGAAAAATCTCCACCCCACGACCAGTCCTTGCTAGAGGAAATCGCCAAGGAAAAATCTAACTCCGCGAAAAAGGACTCTGCTAAGACAGGGAAACTCCTTGAAGACCCAAGAAATTATAAGGATTCGTTAAAGTTATCTTATAAAAATGCTTTAATGAAAACCTGTCATTCTCGAGGGGCTAGAGCCTTGGAGAAAATTCGGGAGGGACTCCAGAAGAAGGAGAAAATTGTGGAGATCGTACCGGTACCGGAGAACTTGGGGACCAAATTAAGGAGTCAACGTCCTCTCCCGACACCAGCCCACAGCGACTACCCGTTCCCCAGGGAAGACGTCGGTGGAGCTGAAGCAGCTCAAGAGGAAGCTGGGGGTCTACAAGAAGCTGCAAAAACCCCGAACTCCTTCGTCTTCGGATGCATCCAACTCGGCAACTTCGTCAACGACACGAACAGTTGTCACAGAAACTCCGGGCCCAGGAGAAGAGCCTTTCTCCAAGCAGCCTCGGCCAGCTGCCAGCTCAGGAGTAGGAAGCAACGAATATTGGGATGTACCCTATGACCCAATCAATGAAACTATTTTTGGGTACTCCGAGCAATGCCTGCCCCTCGTGCTCGAGGTCATCTGCAAAGGACGACGCCTCCAAGCACTCGTGGACAGCGGAGCATCGCACACCGTCTGCGACAAGGCAACCATCGACCGACTTCGAGAAGAGTACAAGCCATCAGCGTTTTCTGCAACTATGGTGGACGGCAGCAAGTTACCAGTGTAAGGCGAAGCAGTGCTACACCTACAAATCGGTCCAATGTGCTAGAAACCTGCTCTCCCCATCACCAACATTAAAGGGCTTGACTTGATCTTTGGGCGAGACTTCATAAAACGATTCAACCCCGAGATCAACAGGGTAAACCGCACCGCAAGCATCTACAACAAAGGAAGGAGACTCCAGCTACCCAACTAGGACGATACAGGAGATATCCCAGCGGAGACACTCGCCAGATTCGAGAAGGACATGAAACGAACCAACACCGGGTTCCTTACCAAAGGACTCATCCGACCATCCATTTCGCCATACGGTGCCCCAATACTCTTCACACCGAAACCGGACGGAAGCATGCGCATGTGCATCGACTACCGAGCTCTCAACAAGCAGACCGTAAAAAACAAATACCCGATTCCACAAATCGATGACCTGCTTGACCAGCTTTGGGGAGCCACGGTATTTTCAAAACTAGATCCGCGGTCCGGATACTGGCAGATAAGAATGGCGGATGAGTCTGTTCACAAAACTGTTTTCCGAACTCGGTACGGATCGTACGAGTATCTGGTAATGCCGTTCGGACTCACCAACGCACCTGCAACGTTCCAAGCAGAGATTAATCATATCCTACGCCCACTCTTGGACGAATGCGTGGTGGTGTACCTAGACGACATTCTCTTCTACTCACGCGATATACAACAACACGTCGAACACCTGCGACGAGTCTTCGAGATTCTTCGACGAGAACGCTTCTACGTCAAACTATCCAAGAGCGACTTCGCCCTCGAGAAAGTCCAATTCCTCGGACATATTGTAAGCGCTCAAGGAATTCACGTCGACCCCAAGAAAATCGAAGCCGTGCGTACGTGGAAGACACCCGAGAACGTGAAGGAGTTACAGCAGTTCCTTGGCTTTGCTAACTACTACAACAGGTTCGTGCCACAATACGCGAAGATCGCCACGCCACTCACGAATCTGCTAAAGAAGAACACGCCCTATAAATGGGAGCCACAACACCAGGAAGCCATGGAGCAGCTGAAACAAGCACTCACGTCCGCACCCGTACTCATCTTGCCAGACCCCGAACGCGACTGCGTCATCGAAGCTGACGCCCGCGACCAGGCAGTGGGAGCAGTCTTGATGCAAGACCAAGGGAATGGCCTGCAACCAATTGCCTACCTCAGCAAAAAAATACATGGAGCAGAACTCAACTACCCGATACACGACAAGGAGGCCCTTGCTATCATCATCGCCTTCAAAACATGGAGATGTTATCTCGAAGGACGCAAGACGACAGTCTACACCGACCATTGCAGCCTAAAATATTTGAAGACGCAACCAAGCCTCTCCTGGAGGCAAGTCCGGTGGATTGACTTCCTCGAGACGCACTTCCACTACGACGTCGTGTACAAGCCTGGCCACAAAAACAAAGCAGATGCGCTTAGCCGGCCTGCACACGTTGCCCCTATCCAAGTTGAAGGGATGAATCCACTCCTCAAGGGACTCTTCACACACGGGTTCACCATCGACCCCGAAATTCCCTTGGCAGAAAAGCGACATCTGCTACAGTGGGACAACTGCATCACGTACCGGAAAGGATCAACGAAGATCTGGGTACCTAATTACCCTCCATTGCACCAGTTACTACTCGAAGAATACCACGACGTCCTGTACGCGGGTCACTTCGATAACAACAAGACGCTCACCGGTATCGCCAAACACTACTAATTGCCCCACATGGCAGATGACGTACAGAAATTCGTCACCTCGTGCACTACATGTCAGCGGATGATTCGCAGCAAGCAGAAAAAAGCAAGTCGGATACAGCCTCTTCTTGTCCGGGAACAGCCATGGCAAGTGGTAAGCCTAGACTTCATCACCGGGCTACCAACTACCAAAAGCGGTCATGACGCGATCCTCGTCGTCATTGACAAGTTCTCCAAGATGGGACACTTCATCCCGACACTCACCACAGCACGCACCGAGGAGACAGCACAACTCTTTGTTCGCTACATCATCTCACAACATGGCATTCCGACCACACTCATCTCCGACCGAGACCCTAAGTTCACCAGCAAGTTCTGGAAAGAACTGATGTCTCTACTCGAGACCAAACTCGCCATGTCATCCGCAAATAGATGGACAGACCGAGCGCCTCAACCAAATTGTGGAACAACTCCTCCGTGCAGCCTGCAAGGACGACATCTCCAAATGGGACTCGCATCTGCCCGTCCTAGAGTTTGCCTACAACAATGCTACTCACGCCGCTACTGGACAGACGCCGTTCTTCCTCTGTTACGGACGCCACCCACTCACACCTCAACAGCCAAACATACCAGCTACAGTCCAACCCGCTCATGATTTCATCACAACCATGCACAAACTTTGGGATCGGACCCACAAGCGCCTTCTCGACATTCAGCAACAACAGAAGCGCCAAGCCGATCGCCACCGCACAGACCACACCATCACCGTGGGAGACCGAGTCCTACTCAACATACGCAATCTTGACATCAGCCATCTCCCATCAGCTACCTGGAAGATTCACAATGCCTTCCATGTCTAACTCTTGAAGCCCTACCGAGATCCCAACACGGTCTTCTCCGGGCGCCAACCGCCACTGCCGCCGCCCGTCCTCGTCCATGATGAACCCGAGTACGAGGTCGAGTCCGTGCTTGCTCCCCGCCGTCGACGGAATGGCACCGTGGAGCTTCTCATCCGTTGGAAGGGTTATGATCCTTCTAAGGACAGCTGGGTCTCTGAATCCGAGATGGATCACGCTCGTTGTCCTCTTCGCGACTACCTTGTCAAGCAGGGTGTTACGTCTACCACCCAGCTTTGAGGGGGGGAAGTGTGAGAGTACGACCCCATTCCATTCCTTTCTCTTTTCCATCTTCTCTTTCCATTTCATTCCTCTTTTTATCCTGATTCATTTGGTCTTTATCTCATTCCATTTGGATTCCTATTCCTTCACTTCCATAAAACCTTTGGTCTATCCAGTTGTTATCATTATATCACCGACCAAGCTCGGGATGTACTGGTGCGCTATATCTAGCGTAATCCTGCTGTAATCCCTTAAAGCTAATAGCCTCGCATGGCTATACGCAGGGTGATTCTATTTTCTAGAAGGGTCTATTCCCTTGGGATAGGATAAACCTGGTTACTTGATGTACTTTGGAAGTATAAAAGCGCCTTGTATCAATCGATAGTGCAACCTTTCCTCGACACATTCGATCCTGTGACAAGGGGAGTCTGTAGTCTGTACTACACAAAGGTAACACACCTAAACTAGGCAACACAGTGTAATAAGATCCGGGCACACTAGAAGCGTCAGCATATAGAGAATGCAAGGCAGAATAGATCTGATCCATTTCTAACTCAAAGACAGGCACACCGTGACGCAGCAGAATGGCCCAGTTAGGGAGGTCCGACACCAGGACGAAGTGGCGACAAAAGAGGTCGTCGAGGCGGCGGAAGCTGCGGGCGGTCATGTGTGGGCGACGACACACAGTGCTGTGGAGGGTGCCGGTCTGGAGCTGGTTATGGCAGCCCCCATCGCTGAAGCTGCCAGCCGACGCCGAGCTGTGAGGGCCGCCAACGCGGCCACCACTGTTAGAGGCATCGGGCCACCCCAATGGGAGGCGCGCCCATGTCTGCTGCTGCTGCTGCTGCGACGGCTGCTGCTGTGGTGGCTACTGCTGCTGCTGCTCCTGGGCTCCAACCCCGGTCCCCTCGTAGGACCCACTGTCTCTACCGCCACCTCCACCACCTCCACCACCCCCACCACCTCCGCCACCACGCCCCCCTTTAGGGCCCTGATGGCCCTGACTTGGGAGCAGCTGTGTGGAGGCCGCAGTTGCCGTCTTAGCGGCAGTGGCTGTCGCAACGACAACGGCAGAAACGTCAGCGTACGTGCACTGGGAGGGCACACAGCCTTGAAAGATAAGGGCTGCCGCATTACCGCTCGACTGAGTGATAGTGCACTGGGGAGTCTCTATCTCAGATAGGGCGGTGACGAAGACGGTCGCGGGCAGTGGCTAAGCAACCCGAAAGGCGTATGGCAATGAGTACAAGGTAGCGCAGAACGGCGGGGGGAAGGCAGTGAGCTGGGCCTCAGCGCTAGTGGCGTGGTAGCTAGCCTCTAGTGCACGGAGGTGAGTGGCTGGGTCAGCTACAGTGGGGAAGGCGGCAAGATCAGGGAACAACATGGGGAGGATCAGGCGGCCAGTAGAGGTGGAGGCGGGCGTGGAGTAGCGCGCAACTACGGCATCTAAGAAGTCCTTGGCGTTCGCGGCAGCAGTAAAGCGCGGACGCTGAGACAGGGGAAGAGCATGATTAATGGCAAGCTGCGCTACAGCATCACACGAATCCGAGACAGCGCAAGTAAACGCAGCAGCAGAAAAGGCCTCATGCAGGGCAGTGGTGGGGTCAGCAAGGAGGGGATCATGCGCGGGGGGACGAGGAAGCAAGCCATCGATATGCACAGCCATGGAATGCCCATTATGGCGCTGACCTGTAAGGTGACGGTGTAGACCAACAGGCCATGCGGCGAAGTCGATCGCGTGCCCCTCTGCGTCCAGGCGGAGTACAGAGTCCGCCATCGTACGACCTCAGCGATTGCCTCCACGGCGGCACGGCGGCACAGCAACACAGCAGCACATCGACACAGCGGCACAGCGACTCAGCGGCCCGGCGGCACGACTCCATGGCGGCACGGCTCCACGGCAGAAAGGACGGCGACCACGACCGAGTCAAGCGGGGTGCGCTGACCGGTGGGGGCGTGTAAGGCCCAGCGGGGCGCACAGAGCCAGCAACACGTAGAAGGTCCGGCTGGGGCACAATGGGCCTGCAGGGGCGCGAGGAGGCTGGCGGGGTCGCAAAGAGCCATCGGAGCACGATGGGTGGGTGGGGTGCTAAAGGGCTGGCGAGGCGCAAAACGGCCAGCAGAGCGCGATGAGCCGACGGGGCGCGAAAGTGATGGCGGGGCACAAAGGACCTGGCGGGGCTCGAAGAGCCTGGTGGGGCAGGCAAGAGGGTCTGCATGGCGCGAAGGGTCGGCGGGCCGCGAGGCCTGGCGGGGCGCGGAAGGGACCAGCGGGGCGTGAGGGCCTGGCGGGGCGCGTATGGGACCAGCGGGGTGTGTAAGGGACCAGCGGGGCGTGAGGGCCGGGCGGGGCGCGTAAGGGACCAGCGGGGCGCGAGGGCCTGGCGGGGCATGAAGGGGGGTCAGCGGGGCGCGAGGGCCTGGCGGGGCGCAAAGGGCCTGGCGAGGGCGCGAAGGGGGGGGGGGGGTGGGCAGCAGGGCGCTAAGGTTAGGGCTAGGGCTAGGGCGAAAGCGGGTGGGCGGACCTAACCTAAGCTAATACCATCTCAGAGTAGCGGAATAGACTAGAATGAAGGGTACACGATAGTTTTGACCTAATGTATTGTAATCTCTAAGGCATGGCCCTATCTAGTGTACAGCAACATATACAAATATGTTTGACAGTTGCGGCAAGGCGACAGTTGCGACAGCCGCGTTTGTGCGCCATCTTTCGTCAATACGTGCACAAACGCGGTCCCTTTTTAAGATTCATCACATGCAGTCTCAAGGCCGCCATGGCCATGGCTGACAGCTTCGGAACTCCCAATGTCCAGCAATTTCTTGCCTGATCATACATTCAGCAAGTTTTTTGGATTCCACGTAACGAGCTCAATAGTGCTATCCCCTATTAGTGTTCACATGGAGGACCTAACGGCAGCAATATGCAGTTCAGGCAATCCCAAGACGTGCTCAACTATCAAGGGCGACAAGTTCCAGAACTAAAGATGCTGCAGAATGCAACCGACCAATCCATTGTCAAGGAGATCAGGACCAGCGTTGAAAATGGATACAAGTGTGCCAGCTTGGCTGCTCAACAAGGCTATGGGAGCCTCGCTGAAGTATGGTTTAAAGGTGCTCAGAAAGTCCCATTGCTCTGTCATCAGAAGACAACTTTGGGGAGCTCATCATTGCACGATGCCACCAAAGAAAGCCGGCATGGTCACTCGAGCATGCCATAAGCCTTCCCATGGAGATGAGTCGGACTCTAACTCAACTCCTCCTCTGACCCCGACGTCGTCGCCCAACAAGCAGCCTCAAGGCCAGTCTCTCGTCAGGGAGGTTGTCCCCTCGCATCACACGGAACTGTCTGCTCCTCCGCCACCACCCCCGCCATCGCCTCCGCCGTCCGTCATTCCGCGTCAGGTGTCCCCGAAACGTGCGTGCCAACACGGTGTTCCACCGCCGGTCGTCTAGGAGGGTTTGGTACCTGTGCAGAGGGAGATTAGGTGGAGGCTGCAGAGGAGGAAGAAGAAAAAGATGGGTATGACGGAAACAGGTCCGGCGGTGGGTATGACTAAAAGATGGGTCTTTAGCAATGACCCTGAGGAATGCCCAGATCCGGTTAGGATTCAAGAGGTTGCTGCGAAGATCAAGCACTCGATCACGCTCCTGATCCCGGTGTTTCACTTGAAGGAAACGCTAAGGACGAAGGAGACCCTTGCGATCCTGCTGATGCTGTGGAAGTCGGATTTGTTGCTGCAAGCGTTGACAACTACGACTTACCTGGAGCTGAAGCCGGCCTATATTTCGAAAAAACGCTTTGGCCGCATGCAAATTACCTTGCATCTGTGGAAGCAGGTTACTGAAGATCAGTGCATGGATGGCAAAATCATCAGGCTAAAGTGGTTTCATCTGGAGAATGCAGAGAACCGACGGATGCTGGCTATAAACGACAAGCTTATTGAGACCTTCTTCAAGGATATTCCGGCAACTGTCTCACCTGAAGTCCTCTTTGATCTGTTGGTGAAGATCCCTCTTGTCAAACGGAAACAGACGCCATTCCAGGACGGTTTCTGCTTTCATCGGGTCAAGGATCCATCTACCGGGGATGACACGGACAAGATCAGAGGATAAGTGCTTCAGCACCCGGAGGATAAGTACCACTAGCGTCACCTGGTGGAAGTCTCGTCGCTGGAAGGGACTCAGTTTCGTGTTCATTACCCGCGTCTCACCTGTGATTACTGTGGTGGTCAGCATATGTCGAAGTTGCATGACGACTACGTGACGGCTAGGCAGAGTAACATGGACACCTGGAAGCTGACGTTGGGTAGCCTGCATCACGGACCATCTGATTTTGACATGCTCGCAGTACCGCTCTTGCACTTCACCTCTGTATGGTCTTTCTCTTGCTCCTCCTAGTTTGCCCGACCATCCGTCCCTCCACTCCTCATGCAGCCGCTTCGCTCATGCTGACAAGTCAGGTCAAGAAGCTGCTGAAAGATCTGGCCATTGCCCTGGTCTCCACTGGCTCCTGTCATGAAGAGTGGATCTGCATGCAGGGCTGCTGTGGGAAGGCGCA